AGATGGGTTTAAGAGACAGGAGACTTGTTGTATTGTCATATTTTATCAGATTTTGAAGAAGGCCATATTAATAGCATCATATTTTTTCTTTTTTTGTTATATCTTTTAATAGCCAAAGAAGGGTTTGTTGGAGTTGTTGGCAGAGAGGCCAGTGATAGGGGATGGAAGTTATGCTATTACTCTGGAGAAGAGAGGCTATGTGACGGCTGGATCCTGGACCCCCGAAGCAGTCATCAAATACCCTGAAGCCGGTAACTATATTTTAGTTGATACTGAAATTTGCTGATTTTTGTGCTTTTGTATTGTTTTAATAATAATAATGATGTTATATTTATATAGCGCATATTGCACATTGCCCATATGCGCTTTACAGAGAAATAATATGGCCAACTGAGAAAAAGCAAATAACAATAAATTAATAACAATAAAATAAAATAACAATAGTAACAATGATAATAAATAATTCAGGCATGTAACCAATGGGAAGTTCTCTATTAGCCCAGTGGTGTATCTAGGAGTCTTTAAATAGGGGGAAGGGGTGCTGATGTAGGGCGCGAAGGTGGAGTGGGGATCGCTAATTAAGTGAGGTCGCAAATTAAGGTGATTTGAGGTGATTTTTAACTACTAAGTGCGATTTTTTTTGCTTCGGACATTTTCACTGCCGGGGAGGGGGCCCGTGAGCATTTTCTGAGGGGGAGTGCACCCCCTAGATACACCACAGGTTCAGCCAAACCCTAAAGTAGATCTCATCACGGCCACATGAAAAAAAATGTATTTGTTTCGTGACTGGTGGTACTGGTAGGAATTTATACTGCACCTCTTCCTTGAGGTTATAAAGCGCAGTTCTCTTCCCTGGTCATTGGGTTCGCATGCTCTAAGTGTTGCTGCTGGTAATCAGCACAGGAATAGGTACTCATTTATCCTGGGTGGGGATAAGCAATGCAGATAAAGTGCCTTGCTTACGGACACAAGTGAAATACACAGCGAGGGATTTAAACCCTGACCTCGAGGTTGGGAAACCAAACCGTTCCTGCTGCGCCCAACTGCTTCCTTCATGATCTAATTGCTATCACGATCAGGGTTTCTTCCATTAATAAATTAATAAGATAAACATTTTCATTTCTTCTGTCATTTTGAACTATAATTATGTCTGCTGTAGAGATACATATGTATGGGCGTAGGCTGGGCGGACACACCCCCATGGGCAGCAAATTAGTTCTGCTAAGAGAGTTAAAATACTAAAAATGGCCACTAAGTTTTCATTTAGTTCCACTTTCTCAATTTTCGCACCCCCTAGCTCCGCATTCTACCAGCCTACGCCCCAGATCTGTAATAAAATACTTTATATATTAAACCAAAATTCATTATTTTTTTATATATATTTTAGTAAAGCAATTACATAAGGATTTTATTCGTGCCGGATCTGATGTTATCCAGGCCTATTCTTTTTATGGAACAGATGATAAACTGTCCTATACAACAAAAATGGGGAAGAAAATTGTCTACACAGTAGGTACCACAAAATGATGATGGTAAAGTAATATAATAGTAATCCAGGTATAATAGTAATAATTGCAGGGTCGTATTTAAGGTCATTAGGATGTACGATTGACAAGCTTGGGGGTCACGGCATAGAACCGGTTGGATTGTAGCTTCAATTTGTTTTTATTACTATGAGAACATTAACGGCCAAATATTGATGGCCTATATATTGCTGGGTAAAATATAAAGATTTAAAATATTCTTTGAAACAGTACATTCTCTACTGTCTTAAAAATGTGGGCCTTTTGCGCTTTTGTGGGGGGAGGGGGCAGGGTGAGTGGTGGAAGGAGATATGGGCTTGTAATTGTTGTTTGTTTTTGTTACTTAGTATTAAATTAGACAGATTTATAGCAGTTCATCAGACAAACTTTAAATCTACAGTCTTTATTATCGTCAATAGCATTGTCATCAACATGTTAAGATAAATCATCAATCATTTCACTGAAATTGATATTTTTTTGTTATGTAATGCATTCTTTGTATATATTTTATTATATTTTTTATACGAACTCTATTCTTATACGAAGACTTAAACTTATTTATCGAAAAATAAATTTTAATGTAGTGTTGCTATTTTAAATTTGTTTACGATGCCTTGGAGAGTACTTGATGGTGTTTTACTTTTGGTTATCCATGGAGGGCATTTTATATTGTACTTTCCTTCTATAATGTGGTAATAAAGTTACAAATAAAAAAAAATAATTATCAATGCATTTTAACATGTAATACATTGTTAAAAAAATATTTACCATTTTGTATTTTCAAATGTTCAATGTACCGTATGTATTTGAATAAACATACTGCTTTGAATAAACACTCGCCCTCGAATAAACACCCCCTGTAAAGCTGCATGTGGAATAAAAACCTCCCTCGAATAATGGCCTGAGTTGTTATTTTTTCCTCGAATAAACCCCCTCCCACCATGACAGCAACATCATTCCCAAACCTCCAGTAGAATTATATTTCTTTTAACCTGTTGAAGTCGATAAGTCTTTTTGATCACACAATACACATTTTGATGTTAATTATTATGTTGTAGTTCACATTTACAGTGAAATTAAGGGGCGTTTATTTGATTATGTGTACGTATCCATTTTAACCCCAAAAAAAGGAATTCCTCAAATAAACTCCCCCTCAAAAAACCTTAACAGTAGTAAACGCCCCGGAATGTGTATTCAAATAAATATGGTACTTAATTTAATTTTTAAATCATTGTTTTCAAATACTTGCTTACATTGTCATTGTGTTAATGATAATGCTTTGAAACTATCTTTAGCTTTGAAAGTGTCATTCAATATTAAACTCAGAGCATTCACTTCATTATGTGTTAACCTCCACCCTGTTTGTACCAAACAATTTGCAGCCTGTGAATGATTGAAAAAAAATTGAATTTCCCTTGTCCTTGACCTTTTTTCCCCAAAATGTAATCATCTCTTTTGTTAGATATATATACCATTTCAGTAAATTTTATGGTGATCCCTTCGTTAATTTTTGCATAATCTTGCTAACAGACCACCCTGTTTTGAATACCAAACAATATGCAGCATGTGAATGATTGAAAAAAAAATTGAATAGTCCTTTGACCTTTTTTCCCCAACATGTAATCATCTCTTCTGTTAGATATTGTTATGTACCATTTCAGTAAATTTTATGATGATCCTTCGTTAATTTTTGCGTAATCTTGCTAACAGACAGACCACCTAGACAGACAGAGGTAAATACAAACCTCCTTGGCATAAATCTCAGTTTTTAATGTTGCAGTTGTCATACGTAATGAATAAATCTTAGCCCTCAGCACCAGCTATTTTCATAAAACTGTAAGATTGAGGTCATCAAACTATTTATTAGGGCAAAAGGTCATAACTTTGCTCATTGGGGTTTTTGGCAGTAAAAAATAAGCAGCATACTGAAATGGTGCCTATCAATCATGTTCAAAAGATAAAGAGCTTTATCTTTTTGCTATCCACTTTAAAAGTCTACATAAAATAACTTTGATTTTTAAAACAGTGTTTTTGATTGTTTTTTTTTTAAAAATGTCATGATATATTTCAGAGTGATGATGTTAATGAAGCCGCCTGCAACATAGCATTTGAAGCGGCTGGCAACAGCATACTTGTATGTGGTGGATTGTCCCCGACTCCAGCCTACACCGAGGGCAAGGGTAAGGAGTTTGTGCAGGCCGAATTTCGCAAACAAATTGATATTTACAAGAGGAGAAACGTTGATTTCCTGCTTGCGGAAGTGAGTTTTGCAAATTAACTCTAAACAAATATTTTTTGGTATTAGAGTCATGCAGTTGTATACAGTAGCTTTGTTCTTTTTAAGATGCTTGCCTTCGAATCTCAGGGAAATGTCGGATTTAAATAATTCTTTTACCATTTATAACTTCCATTTTACTGTTAACCCTGTATTAATAACTAAAAATGTATTTTTTTGCAAGAAATGACTGGTTTGACTTGTCTTTGCCACATTTTTATTGTCTCTTTCTTGAATGCTGTGTAAGAACTAGAATTGATGCAGAAGCATATCCAAAATTGCCTAGGAATTAGCCTGGAGACCTCTCTAAAACAATTATTATGTATGGTTTACATTTCCCAAAAGGCATTGCTTCGGTCTACCCAGCTGCATCAATCGGTACCAGAAAATTGCTGCGAGTAATTAACTGCAAAAATCTTGACCCCAGTCCAGCCTATGAGCTCTGGTGATCTAAAGAAAAATGTGTATTTTAACCTATTTCTTGGCTTACATGGTTGTGTATTTTGTTTTCAGTTTTTTGCTCACATAGAAGAAGCTGAATGGGCGTTGGAGGTCATGAAGGAAATGACCGTTCCGCTTGCCTGCACATTACGAATTGGTCCAGTGGGAGATAGTGCAGGTGTGTCTGTGGAAGAATGCACACTAAGAATGGCAAAAGCAGGTACAACAACTTGAGTATTTGAATAGACTTTTCAACTAGTGTTCAACTGTATAATCAGGATTTCAAACAGAGAATAACAGAATGGGCCCAAACCTAAACTAAGGTATAAACCATAACACATACCATCAGAACCCACCAATATGTTATTTTATTAACATCTCTGTAGGCAGTTTTTTTCAGTTTTGCTTTTCACTGGCAATTCCATTAAAACATTCTTTATTTTTATTTATTTATTTTTTATGTAATTTATAGAGGGTGACCCTTCCAGTGTGTCCTATAAGGTCAGTTGATATCTCTTAAATAAATGAGATAATGTGATACTATCAGTGAAGTCACTTTATGAGGCTTTGGGAGTGGAGTTGTTTTTTAGTTGTGAGAAAAAGTTTTGCTCTTACAGGAATTTAACCTATGACCCTGGGATTAAAAGGCAAGTATCTTAACCAATTCAAATCCACTCCCTTGTTGCTACAATGTTTACTGTTTATAACAATTACATATACAATTATAATGATTTCTATTAATTCTGCACAGGTGCCGATGTAATAGGAACCAATTGTATGTATGATCCAACGATTGCATTAAAAACAATGAAAATGATGAAAGAAACAGTTGATAAAAATGGCTTGAATGTATTCTTGATGACGCAGCCTGTAGGCTACCACACCCAGGAAATTGAGGAAGATAAAAGGGGCTACTTTGCCCTTCCAGAGTTTCCCTTTGGTAAGTAAATTGGCTTACATTTTGCAGTTTTAGTCTGTGGCAATAGTGCTCCCATGATGAAGCATGATGTACAATAATATCCATAATAATTGAATGTTTAGTGGTTTTGAAAATAGATAATCGAAAACAATTTGTGGATCATGAAACAAAATAACTTTTCCTGGTTACAGATTTGAAACTTAGTCTTGGATTGCTGCATTTTTATTATTCTTTTGGTATTATTGCTTACATGGCTACGTCTATACAAATACTTTTTCCAGTTCAAAATGTTATTGTACTGTCTAATGTGAAATTCTTTTATTAAACCTATGTCATGGGAATTAATACCTACAAACTGTCTCTTATACAGTAATTAACATTGGCGTATCTAGGGGGTTCGCGGGAGGTGCACGCCCCTCCAAAAATTACTTGTGTTACCCTCCCAAAAATTGCTGTCAAGTAGTTAAATATCGCCTAAAATCACCTTATTTTGTGAATTAGCGCCCCTCAAAACTGATCATTCAGCCCCCCCCGCACTTCACTTTTTTCCCCTCCTTCAGCACCCCTATTTCACAACTTTTAGATACCCCACTGGTAAATAGTAGGACATGGATTCGAAGCAGTACGATTAATCCAATAATATTTGTTTCCTTTAATTTTTTCAAGCAATGGAAACTCGTTTATTGAATCGTATTGACGCTCACAAATTTGCACGTGAAGCTTTTGACCTTGGCGTCCGTTACCTTGGTGGTTGCTGTGGCTTTGAGCCATACCATATTAGAGCATTAGCTGAAGAAGTAAGTAAATGTGGAAAAACATTATTCATTAAATTATTGAATGGTAAACTGTTTTTATTTTTTCTAAAAAGGACAGGATTTTTTTCTCATGACCAAAATCAACTCCACTCCCTCATCCTCATAGACTTAAGGTCAACTCAGACAGCGTCATACGACGCAGCTGGACGCAATTTGTTGTCGCGTCAGGTCTGTGTGAGACGCAGACGTGATAATGTGTGTCGGGGGCAGTCACGTTGTTCAATTTTAAACATGTTTAATATTTCTCACAACGGCTCAAGACTGTCCCCAACGATGAATCGCGTCGGGCTTCGTAGTACGACGCTGTCCGAGTTGGCCTAAGTCTATGTAAAGTTTAGGGAATAAGTGTGATGGATTTCAATTACTTGAATCCTGCTTTTTACTCCCACTCAATCCGAAGTAATAAGTCGTTCTTTTCATTAAAGTCAGGCTCCGAAGGGAAAATGTTGTAGAACTCATTTTTCTAAGACAGATTAAAGTTGTTTGAACCTGCAGTAAAACAAGACCAATTTTGTCAAGACACCTCGCATAATATGTTAGTACGACGCTGTCCGAGTTGGCCTAAGTCTATGTAAAGTTTAGGGAATAAGTGTGATGGATTTCAATTACTTGAATCCTGCTTTTTACTCCCACTCAATCCGAAGTAATAAGTCGTTCTTTTCATTAAAGTCAGGCTCCGAAGGGAAAATGTTGTAGAACTCATTTTTCTAAGACAGATTAAAGTTGTTTGAACCTGCAGTAAAACAAGACCAATTTTGTCAAGACACCTCGCATAATATGTTATTAATAATACATTACAATACTTGGGACACTGAAGTTGTCTGAAATATCTTTTTATTTTGTTTAATTTATACTGTATAACATTTTGCACATCTTTATTACTCACAGCTAGCAGAGGAAAGAGGGTTTCGTCCCCCAGGTAGCGACATGCATGAAGGATTTGATGCACTCAAATTAAGCATATCGTCTGATCAATGGAAACGGTAATATATATGTTTTTCATATAAATAATGTATCTAATTTCTTTTTTTTTTAAAATAATATATTGCATTTAAAAAAAATATTTTCTAAATATTATAATTTGTTTTGTAGTATTAAATATTTTATTGATTAGTATTATTATGTCAATCAATCAATAAGGATTTGTATAGCACCGGTATTGACGGCAGAATGCAATGTTTAGTGGCTCTATGACAGTGGTGTTACTCATTGTTCACCTTAATTAATGAGGTTAATTAACGTTATTATAAATACAAGATTATGAAAAAAATGTCTTGTAAAATATGTAAGATTCTTTCTGTGGGTTATTTTGAAAGCCAACCACTTCACTGAGAATGCGACCCTACGGCCTTGGCGTCCGTTACCTTGGTGGTTGCTGTGGCTTTGAGCCATACCATATTAGAGCATTAGCTGAAGAGGTAAGTAAATGTGAAAAAACATTATTTATTAAATTCTTGAATGGTAAACTGTTTTTATTTTTTCTAAAAAGGACAGGATTTTTTTCTCATGACCAAAATCAACTCCACTCCCTCATCCTCATAGACTTAAGGCCAACTCAGACAGCGTCATACGACGCAGCTGGACGCAATTTGTTGTCGCGTCAGGTCTGTGTGAGACGCAGACGCGATAATGTGTGTCGGGGGCAGTCACGTTGTTCAATTTTAAACATGTTTAATATTTCTCACAACGGCTCAAGACTGTCCCCAACGATGAATCGCGTCGGGCTTCGTAGTACGACGCTGTCCGAGTTGGCCTCAAGTCTATGTAAAGTTTAGGGAATAAGTGTGATGGATTTCAATTACTTGACTCCTGCTTTTTACTCCCACGATTGCTGGGTCCAATGAACTCAATCCGAATTAATAAGTCGTTCTTTTCATTAAAGTCAGGCTCCGAAGGGAAAATGCTGTAGAACTCATTTTTGTAAGACAGATTAAAGTTGTTTGAACCTGCAGTAAAACAAGACTCATTTTGTCACGACACCTCGCATAATATGTTATTAATAATACATTACAATACTTGGGACACTGAAGTTGTCTGAAATATCTTTTTATTTTGTTTAATTTATACTGTATAACATTTTGCACATCTTTATTACTCACAGCTAGCAGAGGAAAGAGGGTTTCGTCCCCCAGGTAGCGACATGCATGAAGGATTTGATGCACTCAAATTAAGCATATCGTCTGATCAATGGAAACGGTAATATATATGTTTTTCATATAAATAATGTATCTAATTTCTTTTTTTTTTAAAATAATATATTGCATTTAAAAAAAATATTTTCTAAATATTATAATTTGTTTTGTAGTATTAAATATTTTATTGATTAGTATTATTATGTCAATCAATCAATAAGGATTTGTATAGCACCGGTATTGACGGCAGAATGCAATGTTTAGTGGCTCTATGACAGTGGTGTTACTCATTGTTCACCTTAATTAATGAGGTTAATTAACGTTATTATAAATACAAGATTATGAAAAAAATGTCTTGTAAAATATGTAAGATTCTTTCTGTGGGTTATTTTGAAAGCCAACCACTTCACTGAGAATGCGACCCTACGGATCGTTTTGAATGACAATCCATTCCGCCTATCACTGACAATCAGCGCCCAAAGGGAGTTGGGTATATAGGCTGGCAGTCGATGTAGTGAGTGCCTGGCTTAAGGTGTCAAGAGCAGGGTCATCTATCCTAATTAGATTATTGTTTATATTTGTTGCAGAGCTAATCCTAAATATTGGTCGGAGTTGAAACCTGCAACAGGCAGAGCAGACACCATCAACTTTGCTACAACAGAACCACCTGAGGAGCAGTGAACATGGAACATATTAAATTATCATAGATTTAATTTTTAAAAACATGCAAACATCCCCAAAACAAATGAACCAATGTAAAATTGATTAAATTAAAACATTCAAAAATTATAGATAGAGTACAGAGAGTATAGAGTACAGAATACATACACATAAATATATGTAATCTTTGAAAATGTGATGTTCAGTGCTCCATTGGCTAGCAGTAATATCCAGGGCCGCAGCCAGGATTGCCATTAGTTGAGGGGAGGGTGATGGTAATGGGGATGGGAATGTGCCAAGGTGGACAAGCTAGGTTCATGCAGAAGAGAATAGATTCTGGCCTCATGATAGATTACTAGTTAAAATTTTCAGATTTGTGATTTTTTCCAATTTTTGGTTGGGTATGGGTCTGTATGAACCTGCTCTTGTACAAATACAGCTGTTATAAAGATCCATAGTTTGAAAATATTGCTTAGCATGGTGTGTTCTTATAAACATGGCATCCATAAAATATAAGAATGATATATACTGTACATAAACCGGTATATACAGTACTGAACATATGAGGCTTGCTTTCCCCAAACCAGCGTATCGTCACTAAATGTTAAACTGAGTAATTAGCATTAGAATGTGACAGTATTGTATACAAATAAATAGTATATGTACAGGGAAGCTGTCATACTTTATTCATAACTTTGGCAATAGAAAATTGATTCCAGTAAATGACTTACAGTATAATGTTGGAAATATGAATATATTAAAATGTCACTTTGTTTTGGTCACTGATGCTGGTACATACATATGTATAAACAATTATAGTTATTATATTCATGGGTACGTTGATAAGCCAATGTACCCATGAATATGCTATGGTTATTTTTTTTAAACAAATATATTTGTTAAAACCAAATGAATTATTATTATGTATTTTCAAACTCTGCATAGAGAAAAACAACTTTTTAATAGTCAAGGCAGAAGATGTACACAATTTTAATTTATCAAGCTGTGCTCTTATAGTATACTACTGTGATAAAATATTAGAAAAAAGACAGACTTTTTTTTTAGTACGGTAATCATAATTTATTTTGGCAAAGTAAATATACTGTCTTACCAGAGCAAGTGGAAGTGGTTTAGCATTCAAAACATCCCTGTGCATTTTGCTGCTGTCCTTGGGAAAGGCACTTTATCTGCGTTGCTTGTCTCCACCCAGAAGTGTGTTTTAGTAAATAAATTATTAATTTATGAAATATGTAAACTCAGTTCAGTCTTTCGTATTTTGTCTTTGACTCACTCAGTTTTGATTTTATGTGCAACATAATATGTGCTAAAAAAAACAGGATGACTATTATCTGAGATTCAAAGTAAGAGGAGTTTGCAGGCATGTGAATTTTGCTCTGAAAATTCCCACCCAAGAGGGCCTGAGCAAAAAAAAAAAAAAAAAAATCTGAAGAATCCACCTTTTTCTTGGGAATATTACTGACCGTCCACACGTGGACCTATCACACTGACGTGAGTGTGTTTTGCAGCTGGCAGTGTAATTGTGAGAGCATGAGACAGACCCAGTACCGTACTCGCGCGAATAAGCGCCCCGTTTGAATAAACGCCCCTATCGAATAAGCGCCCCTCATAACGAGAAAATTTCCTTAAGCGCCCCGTTTGAATAAGCACCCCCTTCTAATTTGAATAAACGCCCCCTCAATAACCCAATCAATCCTGGGACTGTGGATGTTGGCATGATTTGAGGTGTGGAGTGGAATCACATTCTCCTTTAGTCAATATCAAAGTGAGGATATTTATCTTTGACAGAATGATGAGAGCTCCCTGGACAGACAGTATATTTCCAACTTTCATCTTCTTTCATTTATAGCCTACTCCTTTTCCGACAATTTGCACCTTTAACACATTCTCATCTAAGTTTTCAAGAAAATCGGCAATGATCATGCCGTCCTGCTATTCTCAATCGACCGATGGCGAACAAGCTAACCACCACCACTAATTTCATCTGCTATTCTGCTGTTATGTAATACTGTACTCACAACATTCTTGTCATTACAAGCCATGATCTCTGGACGATTATTTTTTCCCACCGCAGCCGCCATTCGTAATTTGCGATTTCCTGATGTCCTTATTTAATCGTTTTTCATTCAAAATGTGCCTCTTGGATTTAATAAGTTCTCATAAGAACCCCTCGATTTTCATCTATTTCCATAAGCGCCCCCTCAATTTTCACTTTGTTTTTATAAGCGCCCCGTTCGAATAAGCTCCCCGTTTGAATAAGCGCCCCTCAAAAAGTGCAAAAAATATTATTATTATTATTCGCGCGAGTATGGTATACGCTAGATTTGGTATACTTATTTTGATATACTTTAGACTAGTTTATAAACTTTTTTTCGAAAAATATCAAACACAACACATTTAGTAAAATCATTCAGTGCCAGCCAAAGCTCAATTGTAGAAATAATTTTAAGTTCACATTACAAATGAATTACAGCACACAGTAAAAAAAAAAAACATTAACAGTTAAAAAAAAATACACCGACTACAGTTTAACTTGCTTAAGTCTACTGCCTAAGTTGAATAATTTCTAAGTCGATCTTATTTTACATTCCAGATTATTGTGTTTTCCATTAATATTAAGTAAAAAAAAAAATAATAAAAATAATAATAATATTAAGTAGAGCAGAAATTAAAAATAATGAAAGGTTTGGTGTTGGTATACCTGGTGTGATACCTGGCACAGGCTTGTGCGTGCTAGGCATGTGTTACATGTTGGGCCATGTGGGCCTTGTATTCAATTTTTGAATAAAGTGTAAAAAGGTATAGGTAAAGGTTCGAAACCTGAAGCAGGTCTCTCTTTCTTTAGCATTTGGGCCAGACTGTGCAAGTCTGTGTGCTACATACAAAATTAACAAGTCAAATTTTATGTAAGTCAAACAATATTTCAATGGAATTTTGGTTTCGACAAGTTCAACTACCGTATTACATGCTAAAGTTGTATGTACATGTCATGGTAAAGTACAGTATGTAAATTAACTCAAAATCAACATATTCCCTGAGAATTTATTAACTAATGGGGACAATACGGTTTTCTCAATGATACATTATCGCTGAGAATTATTATGGCAGTCTCCGCTACTAATATTGGTACCAAGTCAGAAAACTAGCTTATAAATTTTGGTACGTAGCCTTAAATGAGAGCAATTTGTACTTCAAATAATAATTTATGTTAATAAAATAAGTACATTAAATCGTACATTAAATTATCATTCATGAAAAAGCAGAGCAGTAACATAAATTATTTAAAAAATTATTTAAAAAAATGTAAGAAACAAATGACATTTAGAAAATAATTCAAATTAATTATGCATAAATATGTAGCCTATTATTAATAAAATTAATATTTTATTTATTGAAATGGTTAATAGAGTATTACAAGTTATACAGTTGTTCATACATCAATTCATCTCGATAACCACTCATGTACCTCTCATTTAATTTTATATTTGCTAGAAAAAAAGACAAGCAATGTATTAGTTATATGACATACTCTGTTCATGTAGCCAGAATGTCACAGTTATACTCTTTATATTATAGATTTCAGGATGTCATTTGGAGACTTGTGTAAAAGAAATATTGAGTTTACGACTTATTATTGTTTTATTACTTACTTTTTTTTTTCCAATGATAAGGACCACTAATGGCTCCACATTTCTCTAAATACACCACTAATACTGGCTTTGTTTTTACTATCTTTTCACTATTCATAATATTTAAAGTGTAAATGACAAATAAAATAAAGTAAAAAAAAAATGGCGACGAGGATGGGATTCGAACCCACGCGTGCAGAGCACAATGGATTAGCAGTCCATCGCCTTAACCACTCGGCCACCTCGTCTTGCTGAGGGGAAGGCTGTTGTCAAAGATCATCTATGATGGTTTTTAGAAAAGATTATAAAATACAGGATTTTCATAATTAGAAACTATTATTACTTTTGTTGCTATTTCTAAGACTAATTAATTTACTGTAGGTGTTTGTGTGAACCAGTGATTTTGCTCTAGCTCGCTCGATCGAAGGAGAAGTCAACTATGGGCGGGAGAGGGCGCATTTTAAAAACATTTTTCGCAAAATAAACATGCTTTTGAACTTGAAGTTTTTATCAGGCTAGCTTACTCAAGATGTCAGACACTTGGTAAAGTGGGAAAACTCCCCCGATCTCCTACTTCTAGTGTAATATTCTAGGAATAGTCAGTTTAGTAGCAGATACTCTTTGCTTTGACAGCATTTTCTTAATGAAGCTTTTTAGGCTAGCTAGGCCTACCCTAGTCGAATCATTACTCCATCCATGCATTGCCATCGCGGTCGAAATGATCCTCTATGCCTACACCGTAGGCTATGGACCGGATCTCCCCTGCCTAGGCTAGGTAGGCCTAGAGAAGCTTTGTTAGAGAGGGCACTGCGATGACGTAAAGACAGACGACGCTGCTAATGTACAAAGTATGAATAAGGGCAGATAACTAATAATTTTGCAGAAAATTCGACCACTCGATATTTTCTAATAATAGGAAGTGGATATATATTTATTATTTTTTAGCCTAATTTACATCACCGTAAACAAATCAGTAGGCCTATACGATATAGGCCTATATATACGTGAAATAGATAATGCATGCGCAGTCATTCTTTAATAAACTTGCATTATCGGTCACTTAAATTTATCGCTTCTGGTTAAATGTATGTTGGGCTCAACTTTCAGCACTTGAAATTAGCGTTGGGGCAAGCCACGGTGGCCAATCTCACCACGGCACTGATTTGCTGAGGCCCTTCTGTTGGCCAGATACTATGAATCCATGGTGTAGGCCAATCAAATCCCCCAAATGTGTAAGTGTTTGTAGTCATGTTAAATTATATTTAATAATTTGACCAAACATTTTTATGTACAAACAGAGGAGTTTCTACTCTTTAAAAAGCCATTATTGAACAACACACGATCGAGTCGACGGGAAAGCAACTCACCTGGGGAGTCCCTGAATTGGTTGAATGAATTTTTGTAAACAGTAAGTTTATAACATTAACAGGGTTTGATGTTCGATTGAGTGAACGATGTACGTTAATTAAAGTATGACTGCGCATGCAATATTTATTTCACATAGATATGTCGTTTACTGATTTGTTTATGGTCATGTAAATATACCCCATTTACTTCCTTTATAATATACAACAGTACACTACTACTGCAGCTATTGATTGCACAGTATTACTAGCCTATAGTAAATACTCTATAGTGATTTCTGTGCACCATTTTCTGAAAAAATTGTTGTAAGTTTTCAGTGTATTCTCTGAAAAAAAAACTTTGCAGTGTGGAATCTATTTTGGCAATCATGTAAAGTGTGCAGCCTTTTCTGTCACGTTTTGGCTGCGATTTTGTATTTTTCAGCCAATTTTATCAATAGAATAATAAATATCCTAACACTGATAATTCTAATATAATAAATATGCATCTTGACTTGAAATAATAAAAATAATGTGGGAAATGCAAAAATGTTATATTACGTCGATTCGAGCATAATTATAAGTTTAACAAACTTAAATTCTTACTGGTACAGTAACTGATGTGATAAGACTATTTATTTGTAAAGTAAGCATAGTGTAATAAGACAAAAAAAAACTTAATTTCCTGATTTTCTGGATATGGAATACTCAAATACGGCCGAACTATTCCGCGGCCAAAACGGATGGCATACATTGTTACACCAGTGTGAAACCAATTCTCTATTGTAATTGGATGTTATTCAGGGCGGATCCAGAGATGTCCGAAAACAGGGCCGACAGTGGGACCGATCGAGACAACACTAATCCAGGTGGTCTGGGGAATGTCCATGCAAATTTTTTTGCTTTGTAGGGCATTTTGGGCGATCAATTATTTCTTCAATTATTTCTTTTTCTTTCTTTATTTTTTTAAACTTTCCAAAAAGGGAGGGGTTCACCTCCCTCTAAATCTTCCCCTGTTATTGTCCTAATCCAATGGCATGTTTGAGGACAATGTTTCACATAGCTTCTCATATTGCTTGTATCTTTTAGAGCTCATACACTACTGTATAAATGCACTGGTTCAAGTCCCTGTACTCTGCTGCAAGAGAATAAATCTGAGAAATGATGCAGTCTGGATGCCACCACATGAGATAGGAAGATCAGGATGACAATGTGTATTACTCATTCAGCACCTAGGGTTGCTGACATGCTGCTTCCAAAGCTAAATGTAACACTGACCTGGGGTCAGAGGTCATGCATCACATGATGGTAAGGATCATTATGGAAAATTGGAGGAAATCAACTTGGTGCAGAATGCTATGAGGTACTGTAGATTATTACAAATTTGGTACAAACTGCAGGATTTGGGGGTTGTATTTTTTGAAACGTTTTGGAAAGAAAAAAAATGAAAAGAGAAAAAAAAGAAAGAAAGAAAAAGAACAATTTTTTTAGCTGGTACTGTAATCCTGAATTATAAATAAGATCTTTATCAATACTTAACTGTTGTTGATCTTTGCAATAATAATTGCTGAACACTGAAACTAATCTTCAAAAACTGTTTATAAATTTGAGTTGTTTCTTGGTACAAGACATAAAAATGTGTTAAAGATATATTCAGATAAATTACATTATAAGTATTATTTTGGTGTTTGAAATTTGTTCCTATGCTAAGAATTATTGGTTGATGATAAAGAATATATCAATAACTTTAATAGCAACCAGGTGAAATTGTTTGAGAATAATTTATTTTTACCAATTCTCAGGTTTAAATTGTCATTTTGGCTAGGTGACATGGAGGTGAAGGGTCATACATCTTTAACCCAACGTGTAAAGCAACATGTCAAATGCACCTAGACAGACTGCAAACTTAAATCCGACTACATGTACATAAATTGAATGTCTGGTTTGAGGGCTGCACTAGTGTTGCTTTCAGTCAACCACATGAGCATGAATTTGCTGGAACCAGTGGAGACTCAGCCAATTAGTGATGACTTTGAAAAAGGTATGTCAACAAAATAAGTTTATAATGTTTATGAACTTACGATAATACAGGTCTCCCTCCAATTAAAGCCACAGAAACCTCGGTCCCAAATGTGGCTTTAATTGGAGGGAGACCTGTATTATCGTAAGTTCATAAACATTATAAACTTATTTTGTTGACATACCTTTTTCAAAGTCATCACTAATTGGCTGAGTCTCCACTGGTTCCAGCAAATTCATGCTCATGTGGTTGACTGAAAGCAACACTAGTGCAGCCCTCAAACCAGACATTCAATTTATGTACATGTAGTCGGATTTAAGTTTGCAGTCTGTCTAGGTGCATTTGACATGTTGCTTTACACGTTGGGTTAAAGATGTATGACCCTTCACCTCCATGTCACCTAGCCAAAATGACAATTTAAACCTGAGAATTGGTAAAAATAAATTATTCTCAATTTCACCTGGTTGCTATTAAAGATATTGATATAATATTCGTTATCATCAACCAATAATTCTTAGCATAGCAACAAATTTCAAACACCAAAATAATACTTATAATGTGATTTATCTGAATATATCTTTAACACATTTTTATGTCCTGTCTCTTATACACATCTAGTGCAGTGTGGAATCTATTTTGGCAATCATGTAAAGTGTGCAGTCTTTTCTGTCATGTTTTGGCTGCGATTTTGTATTTTTCAGCCAATTTTATCAATAGAATAATAAATATCCTAACACTGATAATTCTAATATAATAAATATGCATCTTGACTTGAAATAATAAAAATAATGTGGGAAATGCAACCAGTGAAAATTACACCAGTGTGAAACCAATTCTCTATTGTAATTGGATGTTATTCAGGGCGGATCCAGAGATGTCCGAAAGCAGGGCCGACAGTGGGACCGATCGAGACAACACTAATCCAGGGGGTCTGGGGAATGTCCATGCAAATTTTTTTGCTTTGTAGGGCATTTTGGGCGATCTATTATTTCTTTTTCTTTCTTTATTTTTTTAAACTTTCCAAAAAGGGAGGGGGGGGGGGGCGCCTCCCTCTAAATCTTCCCCTGTTATTGTCCTAATCCAATGGCATGTTTGAGGACAATGTTTCACTTAGCTTCTCATATTATTTGTATCTTTTAGAGCTCATACACTACTGTATAAATGCACTGGTTTAAGTCCCTGTACTCTGCTGCAAGAGAATAAATCTGAGAAATGATGCAGTCTGGATGCCACCACATGAGATAGGAAGATCAGGATGACAATGTGTATTATTCATTCAGCACCTAGGGTTGCTGACATGCTGCTTCCAAAGCCAGATCTAACACTGACCTGGGGTCAGAGGTCATGTGTCACATGATGGTAAGGATCATTATGGAAAATTGGAGGAAATCAACTTGGTGCAGAATGCTATGAGGTACTGTTATTACAAATTTGGTACAAACGGCAGGATTTGGGGGTTGTATTTTTTTTGAAACGTTTTGGAAAGAAAAGAATTGAAAAGAGAAAAAAAAGAAAGAAAGAAAAAAAAAAAAATTTTTTTAGCTGGTACTGTAATCCGGAATTATAAATAAGATCTTTATCAATACTTAACTGTTGTTGATCTTTGCAATAATAATTGCTGAACACTGAAACCAATCTTCAAAAACTGCTTATAAATTTGAGTTGTTTCTTGGTATAAGACATAAAAATGTGTTAAAGATATATTCAGATAAATCACATTATAAGTATTATTTTGGTGTTTGAAATTTGTTGCTATGCTAAGAATTATTGGTTGATGATAACGAATATTATATCAATATCTTTAATAGCAACCAGGTGAAATTGAGAATAATTTATTTTTACCAATTCTCAGGTTTAAATTGTCATTTTGGCTAGGTGACATGGAGGTGAAGGGTCATACATCTTTAACCCAACGTGTAAAGCAACATGTCAAATGCACCCACAGATTGCAAACTTAAATCTGACTACATGTACATAAATTGAATGTCTGGTTTGGGGGCTGCACTAGTGCTGATTTCAGTCAAGCACATGAGCATGAATTTGCTGGAACCAGTGGAGACTCAGCCAATTAGTGATGACTTTGAAAAAGGTATGTCAACAAAATAGATGTACTGTATAATGTTTATGAACATATGATAATACAGGTCTCCCTCCAATAAAAGCAACTTTTGGGACCAAGGTTTCTGTAATTTTTAGCAGCTTTGGTCTCTAATTAGAATAATACAGATAAAATAAAAGGCATTTGTTTATTTGGCACTGTAGAAAAGTGGTCGTTAATTGGAGGTGTTCTTTAATTGGAGGGGTCTTTAATTAGAGGGATACTTTTTTGTTTCATCGTGTATATTTATTATTATGCACTTATTTGTTTCTTGTTTTCTTTTTTTTGGGGGGGTTTGAATTTGGCAATTCTGTCACCAGAATTTACACCTGTCCACTTTCATGCACAAGTCTCGCGCATGAGCATCCACTTTTTACGTCTCATACCTACGTTGTATTATTTCATGCATCACAATTTTATAAAAAGTAAATTCTTCATTAAAATGTGAATACTGTACAAGCCATAAAAAAAGTTTGTATAACAAAGCTATACTGACGACTGTTAACAGTAGCAGTTCCACACCAGTAGAATAAAAAAAAAATTATGAGGTTGCTCTATTTCGAGATTTTTTACATAGAGGGTGCTATATACAATGTTTTTTTTATCTCACGCATCAGAAGCCAACAAAGTTAGCAGGTATACTATAAGAATGTAATATTTTTTGATACATAAAATGTTCCTTTTTCCCAAGTGTCTAAGGATGTACACTGTGAAGGGGGGCTACAGAGCAATAATAAACAAAATAATAACAGTGTAGCACTCTGAACTTGCTTAATATATTTATATAAAAATACTTTAATTTTGGTAATCTTTCAGTTGTAACAAATACTCTTCATGTTCAGTCATGGTTTCAGTAAATGTTTCATTAAGCCTCAGATTCCCTTTGTAAGATGCAATTCTATCGTATTGATCAACACTTTCTTAACAAATTTGAAGTGGGAGAGGGACATGTCGGCCTACCCCGCACCCTGTAGGTGCGCTGCCAGCCACATGCTTTGTGTTCTCTCTTGAAAAACAGGATGCATGAATCTTCATTTGTAGTGCCAATACCCCACACTTTAAAACATAGCACATATGTGCACATAAGTTTCTGCTATCTAGTTAACATGTTCAATAACCCTTACATAAGTTTATATGATGTTTTAAATAATTTTTTTCAATGTTGATGCTTTTGTTGGATTAAGCAAGTATGATAGTATAATAGTGTGATACAGGATGAGTGCTCTCATTGGCTATTGGCCTTAGTTTTTTTTTTTTCAAATTCCAAGAATTATAAACTGTCCTTGGTTTTCATACTTTTTTGTTACTTTATTAAGATTTCCTGACTATGATAATTTAATCTTGAATTTAATGTTGAATGAAGGCACTTTGAGGTTATTTCTTCGATTGTTATTGTCCATGCAGCCAATAAGATTCACTTGTCCTCGGAAGTTTTGACTAATTGTTGCTTTGCATGCAAAAGCCAGCATCAGCGACAAAAAAACAAGAAGATTGAATTGACATTCATATTATCTACATTATAAGCTTTAAAATGATGGGTCTTTTATTGGAATCAACTTGCTATTGTCATAGTTGAGTAAAAGTATTACAGCTTCTCTGTACTAAAACGAGAATGGGCTCACGCTCAACACTTTTTTCATTATTTGAACTGCTGGGATGGGACTGATGCGGTATGAGCTGACTCAATCCAAATCATAGCCCTATTTCAGAATATTCTGTATAGAGTTTCTAATATGAATTTGTCTTAATCACACAGTTTCTACCTAATTTTTCAACTGGGACCAGGCAATACAAATGGTGAAGGTTTCATAAACAGTTAAATGTACTTAAAAAAATTAATAGGTTATGCATAAGTTATGCATATTTATTTTTATCGGATGCCATAACCTTTAGGACTGTTCATGAATTTTTAAAATATTTCATTATGGTAATATAATGCAGCATCTATTAGAATTTACAGTATGCTTCATATATGACTGTATAGTTTTTGTACAAGAGAGGTTGGTCTTCTAATTTTTAGATTCTTCAGTTCTGCATTTAGTCATTCTAGTATGTATTATAAAAGGACGATAAACCATACTCCCAGTGTACACAATTTGTGCCCATGAACCCAGTACATCTTTCGAGATGGGTAGGGGGTTACCCTGGTGTACTGGTCCATTCAGCCCCTATTGTTTACCAGGTATCCACACATGAAGAGACTCTTTGGGGAGAAGAAAGTTACTGTATGAGCTAGACCACTCTTCAAGCGCACACCTCAAAATTTTCTGACAAGGCCGACATGCCTGACAGAGGGGTACGGGTCAAGGGGCCGACAGAGCCTTGGTCGACGGTCTGGAGTAAAAATTCCCTTGTAGAGTTCACAGGGAGAGTTTTTATGGCTTTGTATGATCTATAATGTGCTTTTACACCACAATATTAAGGATTGGCAGTCAAAATAATGTTATTTGAATAGGCAAATTATTATTTCTTTTATTTTTAATCTGATGACCTAGTCGTGCGTCGGACAACAGGGGTTCAGGCCTGTCCGACGGGAGCAAGTGCCCCCTGCCCCCACAGGCGTCACCACTGGTTTTGTTATAAAGTGCTATATAAATCTAACTTTATTACATTACCATTATTCATATTATTTTCGATAGGTTGTTAAGATTTCCTAGCTGCATTCATAATAACAATATGCTGTTAAGTACAATAACAATGATTACAGAATAGTGAAACCCGACTCTGTCGTTGGCATAGTAATTAGAGTTTCTTTGTCATCAGATCCATCAATAATAATAACAATACAATATTCTTGTATTTTCAATGTACATGACATTTTTGTTATTAAAGAAAATTTGAGTAACCCAAAGCATAAACCTAAGTATTGTTTTCCATGTATAAGATACAAAGTAACTTTATTATCTGCGAGAAACAAATTCTACACTGAAATTGTAAGAATAAAGAATACATTAGGACTGACTATATTCATTTGTATTACTGTATTTATGTTTTCGAGGTACCTTGTTACTAAGGCTTGAGATCGCAGCCTTCTATGTTTAATATATAAATATATTCATATAAAAAAATAAGTAATCATCACAATGAAATATTACACGACGTTAAATTTGAAACGTGACTGTCTGATGCAAATGTGTTAGTCATAGGGACGCACTGTAATATCACAGTTGTAGAAACTGTAACAGTATAATAATCAAATATTGATATTGTGCTGATACCATTAAAGGCACAGTCTACAGTTTCATAATTTTTTTTTTTTAAAGTAAATAAAATGTTTAGGTTTCACATACACCCATAGACACACCTGCCAACTGACTATCCTCAGAAACAGTTGTGTATCCAACGATATCCCTTGTCCCATCATCTCCAGGTTCTGTATTCTTTGCCAACAAACTAAACTGTATTTTTTTGCTATGTGATTGTGGAAGCTCTTTTCGTTACCCTTTCGTAGGAAACTTGTGTAATAACGATAAATCTTTGAACAATTTTTGTGCTTAGTTATGGCAGCATATATTGTTGTCACATTATTGTCAAATAAGAACATAGTAACAACAAACAAAGTGTAAGTAATCAGTATGTACAGTATGCAACAAACCTACCATTATTTTGCTTGTTGAATAGGAGACTAAACAGACCAATCAAACGCCTGCATTGATTTTTATCCGTGAAACACGATACTTATTGTAATTAATACTTCGGATGAAGTCAGAACGCTGCAATGAGAGAAAAGTAGACTGGTACATTATTTGATTTAATACACATCGATATTCAGGAACTTTATCTATTGGCTTTTGTTATCTTGGCTCTCCTAATTTTCCATCATTTTTTTCAAGTGGTTGTAGAGTGTGCTGTTTTTATCAACCAATCAATTTTCCTACTTTAGGGCAAATTTGAAAATGTGGATTTTTCGAAACTGTTATTTAAAAGAGTGTAAAATCTATAGTAATAATCAATGTTTGGTTAATTAGTACAGTAATTGCCTATTAAATTGCAATTACCACTTCGCCAAAAAGTCGCAATTCAAGAAAATCACAATATCTATGAAAAATTGAATTGGGTAATTAGCACATCTGTGTCTCAATCTGTCTTCCCAGAATACAGACATTTTCTTTGCAGCCTTGAATGTATGGCAATGTTCACACTGACATCCACAACAGACCAACAATTGGGGTAGGAAAGGGGGGGATTCACAGGGGTGAAGCTTAAATTCTATAATTTGTACCATGTTTTGTTGTGATTTGTGGGGTCGGATTGGTGTGGGTACAGATCAGACTCCCAAACATTAGGCCAAATTTCAAACCTGACATGATCAATTGCGTATCCCTGAGAAAGAATATCTGTCCACCACTTGGTCACAGGTGGGCAGATTGCGACCTGCAAATTTTAAACCCTATGAGTGGGGCCTGCCTCCCATATTCGGCTAGGGAACCCCTTTGTCTTCCTAGCCTGATGCCGATGAAACTGAATTATCAAATCCGATTGGTTGGTGAGATTTGGAGTGTTTGCTTATTGGTCGAAATGTGTTTTCTAAAAAACTTGACAACTTTTTGACAGACGACATAAAAAAAGTTGAAAATGTTCAACTTTTGTTTTATACAATTTGAAATTATGTGATATGATGTCATCGTGCCCATATATGGGCACATCACATTTTTTTGTCATAAAATGTTATAGTATAGACAGAGCATTACTCATTAGGTAGATGTTTGAATAAGATTGAAATAGGAGATTATTATTGGGCTACTGATATCACCATATATAGGCACATCATGACTATATATGGGCATACAACAGTTTTTTTGCCAAAGAAAATTTGATAATCGGTACAGAACTTTAAATACTCACTTCTTAGGTTGATGATCAATCAATCAATCAATCAATCAATCAATCAATCAATTGATTTTGATTGTGAATAAGAAACACAAGTTTATTATTAGAAGGTTATATTACTGTAGGTGAGGCAGAAGTATACTTGAAATCTGTTTATGACAGTGATGCATAGGATATAAACGTATGCAGCTGGAAGGCCTCATTACAAACGATGGAGTGACAGATAATTAGAAATACCCTCGGATTAAAACGGTATGTATATAATACAAGCAATTTGTAGTAATGACTTTATTCTATTATCATGTTAATAGTCATTTTGTATTATCATTATAGTACCTGACATTAATAACCTCAATCATGTGCCCTGCAGGGGATGAGGCGGAAATTATGCTGTGCTAATGCAGTTGTTTACTGATTAGTAATAGTTCTATACCCCACTATCTTAAAGGTTTACCAAAGAATAGTACACACACACACACACTGGTAAATTAAAGAGGCAATCACATTGTAGTATTTCACTGCACTAATCGCAAATAAACATACAGTAACACACAGATGAGCAAAGTGCAGCCCGTGGGGCACATTCGGCTTGATGGCAATTTTGTTGCAATCCACAAATTTAAATTAAAAGCCCCTATATGTGTAGCCCGCCTACCATCTTTGGCCAGAAAACCCCTTGTTAAGGCTCAATGCCGAACATTTGTAAAAGAATAATATTATAATTGGAGTGTATGAAGGTTTTTGCAAGCATATTGAAAACATGAAATTTTCACCATAAGTTTGGTTGTTGATCTTTGTGTTAATTTAAATCAAAAATTCAAGTTTATTCTTCTTGACCCATTTTTATGTCCGCCCCTGCAGTAATTCATGAACAAATGTAATCACAATGTGAAATGTATTTGCAATGTTTAAATATAAATGATTTATGCACACGTATTGTTTACATGTATGCGTTGCTTTATGAAATTTCATAAATTTATAGCCTAATAACTTGCAATGCATAGTCATTAATGTTGTGATTAATAAAGTTTTTGCTCAATAAGAATATTTTAATTGCTGATGTTTTATTGCCTTGTGAAGTCGTAATCATACTTTGATTTAAATTATGCATGGTCATATGTTTAACATTTTGTAGAAAGTAGTGGAGTAGAAAGGAGTGGAGGTGAATAGCGTAGTAGTTTTAAAGATGCTTCTAATCCAAGGGTTCTGGGTTCAATTCCTGTCACAGCAGGACTTTTTCTCATTGCTTAAAACAACTCCACTCCCTACAGTAAGTCTCATAAAGAGACTTGGTTTATAAAGCATCATTCTCATCCTGTAAGTGGCGAGTGTACTGTACTTGCAGTTGCATGTGAAGGAAATAAAATTTTAAAAAAAGAAAGCATGTGACTTAGCTTGTAAGGCATTCGACTTTTTCAATTGGAAGGTCGGGGGGTTTGAGACTGATGCTCGTCACACTGCTTGTACCCTTGGGCAAGACACTTTATCTGCCTTTGGATATGTTCACCAAGGAGTATAAATGGGTACCTGGTGGGAGGTGGATGATTCAGAATGAATTTAGTAGTGCTGATTACACGCATACCTAGGAGTACTCCCCCTGGAGCAGAGGAGGTTGCATGCTGTGTATGATTGATTCCTATGAAATAATAATAATAATAATACTTTGTACTTAAAGGGGAATTCCTACTTTTAGACAGCACAGTTTTTTGTAATGAACAATATAGCACTTGGTAAATTAAAGGGATATTCTCACTTGCGGATGTCATCTCTACATAGTACTGTACCTTCTAGTGGTCAATTCTGTGTTTTTGTAAATTAAAGGGACAGGTCAATTTTTGGACATCATAGTAATTCCTACAGTATATGGCTAGTTAAAGGGGCAGGTATTCATACTTGTAGACAGCTGTCATGCATAGTATTTTTCTAATAAATAATAATTGGCAGATTTACATGTAAGGGACACCGTTACTTGTGTACGTTAGTAGTCTACATATAAATATCAGGGGCTGTAAGACTCTCGCAAGTTGTGCAAGTCTCCCAGAAATAAGGACGGCCTCCCGCACTCCCTCGAGCAAGTAAGAATCATCCGTCAAATACCCCATATCCCGCAAATTCATAATATTTGCATGTTTTTACTACTTTACTATTAATTGTCTTATGAAAGTCAGTTCCGATGGGTATTGCCATCCACTGCAAAATAGAATTAAAAGCTCATTTAACCAGATCTTCCGGAAGGGACTTCTTCCAACGTGGGGCCCCTGACATAGTACCGTTTAATGGTAAATATTTGGTAAATTATAGAGACACTCAAACTTGTGGAACTTGCATGATAGTCAACTACAGTATATTACGTTTGACGAACAAGTCTAGACATGAGTCTACCTACTTAATGCTACATCAAAGAATAAGTGTTAACATTTATTGATAACAATATTTATAACATTTATAAATACTGCCCTCATTTCTGTGAGCTTGCATTTATATGTTAACACTTTATAACATTCATAAATCCGAGCTCACCGAAATGATGGCAGTATAATGTCACACTTTCTCTTTAAACCAAATAAAATGACCATTGAGGCCTACATACTATTGAAACAGGCACACACATTGCTGAATGACCAATCACAGCTTAGCAAGCTTACATTTTGAATGGCAGTTAAATTTGCAGTAAAGATTTATTAATGAATTAAATTAAGCTTAATGCCAGAATGTTTGAGGTTATCTCCAGCGGCAAAGTGAACTGTGTTTCTATGATGTGTTTTACGATCAATTATTTGTTGATTCTGATTGATTGGCGTATCGCTACGATAGAGGAGGTATTCTGCATCAATATATGTTGCCATGGTGTACTAAGTAGAAATGTCTATTAAGGAGAAGAGGGAGATTCGCTGGAGACAATTCAACTTCATTTTACTTGGGTGGGGAGGTTGGGGTTTCACAAAAAAAAAAAGGTCAAGCCAATAACTAGAGCTCGTTGGGTAGTCTGACCAAAAAGTGGGCCTATACCAAGCCAACAAATGTTTGTCAAAGTCTGAGAGTGCCATTTGCGGCCATCCGGAGGTTCCTATTTTTGTTTTAAATCTCATTTTGGAGGGAAAAAATCCCCTCCCAAAAATCCTTCCCCCGCCCAGGCCTATGTTCTTTAGTTATCCTTACCTCACTCAGCCCCCCTGTCAGACAGCTTAGCCGCCGCCACTGGTGGGTAAACCATAGTTAGCGGGCAGGGAGGAGAGGTTTAAGCCCTCCAGTCTGACAGCCCTCCCTACTGTACATTATTTAATATCTTGTACGAGTACTGCACTAGACCTCATGGGGTGGGTAATATGTGCATGTTGCGTGACTGCATCATTTTGATTCACTTTGTACTATCATTAGCTATAGACTGCATATAAGCAGGGCTGCTGAGAGTTCAAATTAGATACATTTCTATATTATTGTGAATAACAATATAAAAAACAAAAGTAATAATTAATATTAATATTACTTTCATATACATATTATGCTATGTAGTTAATACACATAAATATAGTGTATGTTTAATATTTTAATGATGGTATATAATAATGATTATTGTATACTGAAGATAATGATTTGATACAATAATATATAAAATAAAGTATTTAAAATAAATATGTATTCCTATGTTATACTACCGTGAAACCTCGAAAAGAAGCCCATGTCGAATTGAAGCCTCATTTTTAGTTTGCAAAATTAGCCTAAAAAGAAGGCAATCTCGAAAAGAAGCCCATGGAGGTGTGGCAGGTTGGTTAGGCCCCCCAAAAATCTGCCTATGTCTTTAATAAAAACAGTCTAAGCCTGCAACAATCAGCATTATTTCAGCATCCAACATTTGAATAACTGGAAAATAAGATACCTGTACTTCAACTTTGTCTTTCCTAAAGGTATTTACAATAATAAGTAGGAAATATTGTGTATGTGATGCTACAGTGCTTTATATGCAAAATACGCACTTATAATATATACCTTATAGGTATTATATTCTTGTTGAGAGAAGAGTATAAATTAAATTACATATTTATATTTATGTATTACACTCCTTATAGCAAACCCCTAGAGGGAAAACCTTGGAAGCCAAATGAAAAAAATCATAATTATTCCAGAGATGTTCCAAAAAATATTTAATCAAATTTATTTGTCCCTTGGGAGTCAGAAAGCTAGGAGCAAAATTAACAGCACATTATAATTAGGTATTTACATAAATTGTACGTTTAACAAAGATAAATTACAAACAAATCTATATACACAGATGTTTTAAAGTATCTCACTAATCATTCCAAAAAAAATATTTGTCAGTTTCTATGTAATGTTGTCAATATATAATGTAGTAATAGTCTTGTTTTTTCACATAGATTTGCTTCATCCTTGCTCCTTATTGTAAATATAACTATCCTGCTATTTCTACCATGCGGTTGGCTAAAATGTCTCATTTACATATTGGTTTATATACTCGATGCTGTGGAACATGAACTGAATAATATGACACATGATGATTATTTCCCACAATTTTTTGCTAATTCAAAATTCATGAAGTAGAAATTACTATTTTTTGCAGGCTTGCATAATATTAATAATTATGTACTGTTAATAATAATGAAAATAACATACTTTTTATTATAAATACTGGTAATATTGTGTTGCTTACTTTGTATATAGTAGTATACTCATACTAATGGGTCATCCCTATTAAGGGGATATTTCTTTGGTCCCAAAGGTCTCCCCTTAATAGGGGTTTGACTGTACTTATGTGTAAGTTATTAGCAACTGAAAATGTGAACCAAAAAGAGAAAAACATCCCTTACAGTACAAATCAACAGACACAAATACTCAAATTCTGATATTCTTTGCATAGAACCATAAATTGAATTTTATATTTGTTATAGGAAATCAACAAAAAATGTATGTATTTATTAATAATTTATATATTATAATTGACTCAGAGCCTAGCATTGACTCAGAGCCTAGCATTGACTCAGAGCCTAGCACCTGATGATTGACGTACCCCTCATGAAACAGCCTGTAGTGCAATAAAATGTTGAGTCTTTAACCCAGTGTTACATGTTTTATTTGTCTATATTATAATTGATAACTTATTTGATCCTTTTATATTTATAAATACCAAATATGTTTTTATCTTTATAATTAGACAATAAAATGACCGTTTTACACATCATGTTATACCTCTGCTAGCAAATGCTCTGAATATTTATGAAATGTATCCAGCATTGGTT